GCGGTTAACGGGGGCCGTTGGCGGCGGCTAACGGTATCGTTCTGGGGGCCGCCTAAACGGGGCGATGGGGGCTGTCCCTCCACTGCATCTCTGTTTCTTTCCCTCCCCCCTCCTCTTTTGTCTTTTAATGGGGGTTTGGAGGCTCTTTTGCCCAGTGTCGAGCAAAGCTATGCTAGGACTGAAGTAGTCAGTGCACCTGAAACCTGGTCCCCGGGTAAATAATCCCTATGCTATAATTAATGTGTTGTACGGGTAGCACGGAATCTCAGAGAATCGGTTGTAAAGTGCAGATTTGCAGTTATGTGGCTTTTCCCCATGCCTCTGCCTTGCCCCCCTCACCTGATTAGCATTAACAGTAGATAGTTGGATATTCACACTCTGTGGCCTGTGTCTTAGTCTCTTAGGAAGATGCGAGTCCTTTACTGGATGAAGTGCTACTGTCAAAGACTCTCCTAAAAAGGAATTAGCCCTTTTCTGTGGCTTTCATCACTATAATCCTTGAGTTCTTTACAAATAAGTGTTTCCTTGTTACGGATATAACAGCCTACAGTGGTGGAGAAAACAGCATCCTCATCAGCATGGAAATTACACTCCACTAAGACTGAACATATCAGATCAAGGGACTTTTTGGATCTAGCTTTTTGTAGAGTATTTAATACTTCAATAACATGATGTGTTTTGAGTGGAATTCCTGGTTGCTTCATGGTTTTGTCACACAATGCTTAACATGGCACACATAGCGGTCTCATTTATAAGTTGCCTTTTGTCAAATACCTGGTGGCCAAGGAAACTATAGTGGACGCCAGGGGAAAAGACTTTTTTAAAACCAAGTTTCTCCATATGAAGCAGAGAAATGTTGAATTCAATCCTTACAATAAGGAGTTGCTGTTTGAATGAGGTGAAAGGGCTTGTTACACCATTTCCTTCATTTACTTTATAGCTGGAGCTTCTTCAATAAATCACAGTTTTAATTATTTCTTTTCTATATAACTCTGCTTCATTTCTTAATTCCTTAAGGCATCTTTTCTAGGAAATTAATGATGTAAAAATCTTTCAGGAAGTAGAGAGAAGCAGTGATAGCATGTGGTAATATGCTTTGTGGTTTTGTCTAATTACAACAACAGCAGAATAGGTTTTATTTTGCTCTTGGTTTCAATTTCATTTTCTGGTGGTTATTTGAGAGGATTATTTTTTAATATAGTGGAGGAGGGCAGAGAACCAGTTTCAGTTTCTGGCATTTCCAGTAATTCATATAAGACTTAACATTGCAGTCTGCTAGATAAACAAGGACAGCGTAGATCAGCACAGGCCTTTAGCCACTTTGTCAGCTAAATGACTGGTTTAGTACACATCTGTCTTCTGTGTGGCTTGATCTTTCCATCTGTATGAAACATTAGCTTTGCTGTTAGATTTCAATGACTTGTTATTTTCAATGAAAACTGCAAGATACGTTTAAAGTTCTATAGCTTTTTGCGATGAGCAGACCAAAGGAATGGTTTCATCAAAGAAAGCAGTGTGATTTGGACTTGCTTTTTAAGTGTGAAATCTTTTATTGATGTACGGTGGCACAGAGCTCGTTAAGCCAGCCTTTCTCACAACCTTATGTTTGCAGTGGTATGCGAAGAAGTGCACATGCTGGCATTCAACCTGTGATAGATCTTCTTTACCTTAACCATGCTCTCAACCTCTTCACTAATTGAAAGAAAAGTTGTGCTTTATATAGAGGTGGTTAAATAAATGCTGTAGAACTGCAGACAAGGGTTAAGTGGCAGTTGCTGTGATCCTGCCTTTCTCTAGGGAATCCTGCTCTCCTGGAAAGGCAGACCTCTTGAATAGGGATGCTGCTTCACAGTCAATTACAGTGGTGTGTGTCCTTTTTCGATACAGTCCTGACCTGTTGCTCTGGGTTCAGTATGAACTATTACAGCTGAACTCACTTCATGTTGAGCTGTAGCAGGGTGAGGAAGAGGGGGAAAAAACTGTGGTACAGTTTGCACATATTTTCCCTATAAATGCAACAAGTGTGAATTCTCGAATTCAAAAATCTACAAGAGCAAGTTAGGAACACAAGAGGACTGGTGGTACATGGAGAGTTAAAGAGCAAAAGGAACTGGGAGACAAGATTGCTTTGAAGGACTGTTGTCTGTTGTTGATGTTCTGTCAGAGAGCTCTATTTTCTTCGCTACTGCTTCATCTCTCCCTCATCCTTGATGAGGCTAAATTGACTTATTTTATTAATGCAGGTCAAAGTAGACATGCATCATTACACTTCAGCCTGAGGCTGCCGAAATGAAAAAGTAGAGAACAACTGCAAAGAGAAAGCAAGACAGCAAAAAAAATGATTTGGATGTCAAGGAATTGACACATTCTCTCTTTTGTTAGCTTCACAATAATTGGTAGATAACAGGAAGATAGATGCAATAAAGCTAGGAAGAACAAGTCTCATAGTTTCTGCAGGTGTACTAGTTAGTTTGGCCTTAATTTGGGCATGAAAGTGAAGGTGATTCCTCAAGTTACCCGTTCAATTTCAGTACTATAACCAAAAAGATCTTATCCTGAAGAAAGGCGGACATGGTTTCATTAGTATCCTAACATGCTCCAGGCACTTACTGCTTAAGTCAAACTCTTGAATCAAGTTACCTCTGCAGGATAGGCAGAAAGCATTACTGAAACTGCCAGGAAGTGTTCATAGCTTTGTTTGTTGCACTGATTGATGGGTGAAATTAGCAGAAAAATGGAACAAAAATAGAAATAAATAGTTGTTAGCTGTTTTAGTCCTTGATCCTTTGAACTGGCTGACTCTTCAAACAGCCACTTGACTCAGTACTAGGTAGAAAGTGGCAACATATGAGGTGACGCAAATAGCAGGTAGGACTATGGCAGGAACAATGTAGGTTGCACTCTGAGGAGACTGGCAATTCAGTGAGATGGTAGAGATGGCATGGTGTTTCCTTGGCACTTAAAAAGACAGTATATTGCTGTTTCTGTCCCTTATACAGCACATGTGCTGATTTACATGTTTGTGAGCTCATTTGGGTCATTAAACCAATAGAAGATTATTGTGTTTTTCTGTATTCTGATTGTCTTATTTTTTCTTCTCTTGGGATTGCTTTTATTCAGTTTAATTAGCTGTAAGCTCAGATAAGTGCTAGGCCTGACTCAAGGGATGGATCAAGGAGAGAGGAATCAGGACCACCCTTTGTTGCAGCAGCCATTTGCTAGATAGGCTTAGTCACACCTGAACCACACAGTCTACTCCTGTAATTTTATCCATAATTGTGTAAATGAGGTAACTTGTCAAGTGGGAAAACAAGTGTTGAGAAAACTGTTGAGGGATGAATCTGTAGCTCCTTCATTGCTGTCTTTGCTATTGGTAAATTAGGGATATAGGGATGATGAAATGGAAGTGAAAGAGCTGAGCCACGTAGGCTTTGATATGTTAAAAAGAAAAGTCGGGACCATTAATATGTTAAATGTGCAGTTCACTCTTCTGTTTTTTGTGTAATATGTTGCTGTTACTCTGTAGTAAGTCATGGAAACAGTTGTGAATAAACTTTAAGTGTGTGTGTGTGTTTTGGGGTTTTTTTTTTGTTTGTTTGTTTTGTTTTGTTTTCTTTGCCATATTGGGAATAATAGTCAAAAGTGAATTTTTCCAGAATGAGAGAGATGTTACTAACTTTGAAGATGGGAGACAGAGTTATAGAAGAAGAAACATGGGTGTTCTTGATTTTTCACACTTGTTTAGATATGCAGGGCTTGTGGTTTTGAAGAACATACAGAGGATTTGAGTTCATATTCTGTACCTTCATTGTAAGTAATTTCATACTTCTCAAACCACAAAGCAGAATTCCTTAAACAAGATGATACCTATTTAGAATCATGGAATCATAGAATTGTTATGGTTGGAAAAAACCTTCAAGATCATAAAGTCTAACTGTAAACCCATTACCACCCTGCCTCCTAAACGATGTCCTTACATGCCTCATATACATGTGTCTTGAACACTGCCAGGGATGGTGACTCCACCACTTCCCTGAGCAGCCTGTTCCAATGCTTCACCACTTTTTTCCACTTAGAATTTTTTCCTAATATCTAACCTGAACCACCCCTGGTGCAATGTGAGGCCATTTCCTTTTGTCCTGTGGTAGTTCTTCTGGAGAAGAGATCAGTCTCCACCTCACTACAACCTCCTTTCAGGTAGATATAGAGAGTGATAAGGTCTTCCTCGAGCCCTCCTGTTCTCCAGATTAAATAACCTCAGCTCCCTCAGCTGGTCCTCAAGGTTTGTGCTCCAGCCCTTTCAGCAGCTTCCTTGTTTGTGACTTGCATCAGACTCGAGCTCTTCTAATGGATGGGTAGAAGTCAGTTTCTGTTATGAACTCTGAAGACCATCATCTTCTTCCTTCTTGCTGTCTGTGGGTGTTTGACAGCATACAGTTCAACTCTTGAAAAAGATAAAGCAGCATCCTGTTAACCAGCAAATGTTAGTTGAACTGTTGTCAACCCCCTCTTGAGAAAACTGATGAGCTGCACCTCCCAAAGTACGCCCCCAAATGGATCTGGAGTTCTTTAAATGTACCTCAAAACATGGATGATTACCTATTAACATAAATTCTGCCTGGTATGAATATATGCAAATATGACTGTGTAGGTGGCTGTTCTAAATATGTGGAAGTACGTTCACCATATAAGATGTCTGTATAGAATCAGACCAGGAATCCCCCTCTCCTGCATTCTTCTTTCTGACAAAGGCCAACAGGATGAGGACCTTCTGCCTTTCTGTTACTGACAATGATACTGTATGTAGGCTTTACAGGATAAAAGCTTTCATATCTAGGAAGATATCTGAATGTGGACTCATTTACTTTTTGAATGTTCATGTCTCTGTTGGTTCCTAACCTTCTTCAGGGACCAAACTTCCTACAAAACTTCTTGTGTGAGAATGTATTGCAATACTATCTGCTAATCATAGAACCATTATGGTTAGAAAAGACTTTCAAGATCATTGAGTCCAACCGTAAAAACTAAGAAGAGGTTGGTGCAACAGCAGTAATCGCTTGTGTACTTAAAACTTCTTGCTGGTTGTGTCTATCACTGACCTCTTTGGACACAGAAAATGGAGACGACTTCTACTGATTTGTTTTGCCTTCCAAAGCTGTTTGGATGTGACTACTGCTACCTTGCTGCAGTATGCTCCTAAAGTGATCTTGATACAAGAGATTGCTGTAGTACTTACTGGTCACTTGCCCTTCAGCACTCTCCTGGTAGAAGAAGACTGAGGTGATGAAGGAAGAGGATATGTTACAGAGAACTGTAACACAGAACCTTTTGTGTTGGAAAGGACATTATGGGGGTAAGAGCAGATGAACTCCTCCTGAAGAAAAGTCAGCTAGAGTGCTTAAGGATGTAAACTCCACAGCCTGTCTGGGCAACCTGTGCAGTGTTCAACCATCCTAATAGTAGAGATGTTTTTCTTTTTTTCTCTCTCCCTTTTTTTTTTTTTTTGTGTCCTCACCTGAATTTTGTTTCCCTCCCTTCTCTAGACAGTTAGGCCATCTTTTCTTAGCCTAGAAGACAATTGCTCTGTCTTCCCCCATTTGCAGCTGACTGCTCTTTTTTTCAGTTTCATTGAAACTACTACTTTCTCTGCCTCTGATTTTGTGAAACATTTCTATTGTCTTCTTGGCTTTTTAAACTTCTTGATCTTACTCCTCATTAATTCTTGCAGCCCGATATTATTTACTCTCCTAACTCCATTTCTCTTGCAAGCAAAAGATCTTTTTTTTTTTTTTTCTTCTGGTTTGTTTGTTTCTCTTTTCAGACAGCTTCCAGATTTCTTATATCCCTTTCCACTATTTACCTGCCTTTCCCTAATTCCCTAGGCTGAAGAAGGTTTTATGAGACAGCTGATGTGACTCAGCTCCTTGCTGCTGCCAGGAGGAATGATTTTGTCTGTAGCTGCAAAGCCACATCACCTACTGTAACTTCAGCATTTATCCTACCATTGCCAGTTTAGAAAGCTAAACAGGCTAATCTCAGGAAATAGCCTCTCCAAAAATGTCATCTTTGTTTTCTCATTTAGCAAACTAAATCAGACTATCCAGTGATTAGTCTTGAGAGTGAGACCACAGGTGTCAGCCTGAAATATCATTGTAAAGTCTGGCACTGTTGTGGACTGCACATGGGAACTCATAGGTTTTGGGTTACTCTGGCTGTGTGTTCCTTACACTTGTGCTAGGTTGGATGTTGAGATCTGTGCAGTTACAGGATGAGTTGGTTTTGCAAACCGATTTTCTGCAAAACTGCTCTGACTTGGAAAGTTAGAGGAAGCAGGAGCTGCTGAATGGAAAACTGAGCTACCTAATGACTAGATCTGCATCGGGGAGAGGAAGAAAATATGAATAATGTTTTTCATGGCAACTTACAGACACACCAGATTAAATATAACGAGACACCTTATGCCTCATTTCTCATCCTTTCCTAGCCATCATGCTGAATAATACTTTCCAATTTCATTTAGTGCACATGTGAATGTCTAGCATTTTTTTTTTTTTGATTTTTCTTTCTTTATGTGGCCCGTCTATCATTTCAGTCTTGCTCAGCTTCTGCCAGTGTCCTCTGTTCGGGTTGAGGAACATGAGTTCGATGCCAGTCAGATTCTTCGCATCGAACTGTTTTAGGTTCATCTTCTCCAAGTGTAGAAGCATCCAGGATTACTTTGACTTTCAAGGAGAACATAGTTGTGCTTTCACAGAAGTTATCTAGGAACTTGTGCCTGGCCTGTCAGCACAGATCTGGAACGTGAACTCGTAAGCATGCCTGCATGTATTTGTCTAGATGTGCCTGTGCAGTGTTACCCACAACATCTGGTTCTGGATACTTAGGGGCTTGTGCCTGTCCAGTCCTGAAAGAGCTTAGCTGGTTGGGCTCTGTATTGCCATGTGAATGCAGCTGAAGACATAAGCATCCCTGGCTGGGAGCTGCTTTCACAGGCTGATTCTGCAGTGCAGTAAGATTTACAACATACTTATCCTAAATATTTACTTGATCTGAGGCTACAGAAAGGGAAAAGAATATTTGTATGTATTCACTGATGAGCATTGCATCTGAAGTATGGAAAGCAAGACTGTGTAACTTGTAGACTGTTGCTGCTTCAGCTATAATTAAAATTTGCGAATACCAAATTATTGTATTTCTGCAAATATGGCATTATTTGGAATATTTATAAAGTTAACATTTCAATTTCAAAGAATTGCTGAGATTTTAGTATGAGATTGTTAGAATAACTCATTTTTTTTGGTTTTGCAGATTGCCTTCATGACCTTGACTCTGTTCCCTATCCGACTCTTATTTGCTGCTTTTATGATGTTGCTGGCCTGGCCTTTTGCATTCATTGCTTCAATGGGATCTGATGAGCAAGAGCTTGAAAAGCCTCTCTCCTGGTGGCGAAAGTGAGTCACTGATGCAATGCAGTAGCAGGAGAACCAATATTTAGTTCAGAAGTTTGAAACAAAGAAGACTGGAAATACTTCATAGTATATTTGTACCACGGACCTCCTCTTCCTCCAATGAAAAATATTTATCACTTGCACATTTTCCTTAAATGGGAAACTAAAAATATCTCAATTGTTTGATTCTACTAGGTGACCATAGAATGGTCATAGGTGACCATGGAGAGAAACAGATCATTATCAGTCTTTTGCCTTTATTAAGGTTGTAGGATGAAACTTCATGGTTATGTCCATCATTTTCAATTACTCGTGTAAATGCCAACTTCATATTATAAGATTGACCATAAATACATGTTGCTTTATCTTAATACTACTCCAAATTAAATATAATGCATGGATGGAAAAATGGGTGGGCTTCAATCTTGCATAGAGTTTTCAAATAGGAGTGGCTCAATCTCAAAGTTTCATCTACTCCTCAATATAGCCTCACTTTCCAGTGTCTAGTCCTTGCGAGTGTAACAATTTCTGCTGTTTGTTTTTTGCACTCTGTTAGTTGAAATTAAAAGTTTTTGTTTGCCTGGCTACCGGCAAGGAGAAAACAACAACAAAGCATGCAAGGAAAAGATAGAGAGGAAGAGAAGAGTTAAAAAATATTTCCAGAGCTCCCAGGTGGTCTGTTCTTTCTGCATGCCCCTGTTGGAGAATCTCTGCCATGCACTATTCCACTGGTTTATTTGGGTAAACTTAAAGAATTGGGGCTGTTGCATTCTAGCCATGTCCTAATACTATCTTTCAGGATTAAGTTTGTTGAAACATTTTGGTTTTTTCTAGAAAGCATAATGAAATATTTTATATGAGAAAATCAACAGCTATAGTCTGACTAAAATTTAATTCAGTGGTAAAATAAATGTCAATTTTATTGTGATTAAAATATTCAGAAACTACATAAAATAAGATCAAATGGCCTCTTTGACTGTGATATTAAACTTTCTTAGAACAGAATGACAATGCCATGTTCTTGTTCTATCTGAGCGGTATGTTCTGTCCCTTTCTACCTGTTTATAGCTTTTATGTAAAGTTTTTTTTCTTTAAAATACTTTTCTGTAACTTTAATCTCCACTTTTTACAGGATAGTGGATGTTTTGCTGAAAGCAATCATGAGACTCATGTGGCTTGCTGGAGGGTTCCACTGGATAAACGTGAAAGGCCGCCGGGCGTTGCCGGCAGAAGCAGCCATATTAACGGTGGCTCCCCATTCCTCTTACTTTGATGCCATTCCAGTAACGATGACCTTCGCCTCCATCGTGATGAAAGCCGAAAGCAAAGATATCCCTGTGTGGGGAAGTGAGTAGAAAGACAGCTTATTTTTTTTTCCCTCCAAAAAATAAAGATTATTTAAGTTTACTGTTTATGGAGAAGGCCTGAAACACAAAGAACATTTTGCTGTCACATACAGTGCGACTCTTCGAGGTCTTTTGTGATTAATGAGTGTTGGCAGAAAAAGTTTGATGTGTTTGCTTTTTTCTTCTCCCATGGATAAATTTGTACAAAGTCAAAACTAATTGTATAGAATTCTTGGTTAAATTTGCAGTCAAAAGGCAACATCTTAAGATCTGGCAAATAGAAAAGCAAGTTAAGATGAGGCTCTGAAAGTAAAGGAGACCCTTTATAGAAACTCTACCAAAACCATTGCTATGTGTTGGGATGTTATCTCCCAAATACATTTTAGAAACAACCATCTGCTCTCAATGGAGTCCTGCCTTTACGAAGTGCTGTCTACCCCTCATGTTCCCCAAGTAAGTTCGTTTGAGACAAGCTGTGAGAGATGAGAAGAAGCAAAAGCATATTGTTGTAGTCCCAACTTTAGTTGCAAGAAGTGTAGGTACCCAAGTCAGTAGTATTGGTTTGTCTTTGGAGTTATCAGTACAATTTTTCACTATTTGGAGGGACCCTTGATTTTTAGTTCAGTTGTGCCAAAGATGTAAGTTCATTTTAGACGACAAGAGGGCGTACGGCAAAAACCAGTATGGCAACACTTTAAAGAAACGGACACTGTTGTGTAGGGACTAGCAGAGTTCTAACCATCTTTGTGTTGTGTAGATTTCAAGAATGCTGTTAAAAGGACAAAAGACTTTGATTTTTGGCTGAGGATGCATAAATATGGAAATCTGAAGAGAGGCTTTGAGTTTTGTAGCAACTAAGTGGAGTGAAACTGCTGATGTTGACATTCTCCTAAAGTTTCATTGGAAACTGTGACTTAAAAGGCATACTTTAAACCCGAAACTGAAAGATGGCTAGCAAGCCCTGAGTGGTTACATCTAGAAGCTTCATGCAGAGAATCCCTTGATGCAAAGGTGTCCATCCAAGTAAAGCACAGGCCAGAACTGTAGCTAGATTTCAAATATATTGAATATTTGATTAGTAGAATTTGTGGCTTAAAGTGAATAATTGGATTAAAAAAAGAATCTTTTGAACAAAAAGGATGTTGGCATGTTTAAAAATGAATATATGCAAACAAGCTTAGGTTGAAAACAAATCAAAAGTTGAGATAGGATGTCCAGTTTTGAAAGATTTTGCTTCTTAAGAATACTTTGACACTTTTGTACAGATACGTAAGCTGCGCTGGGAATCTGAAGCCTGTCCCTAGAAGCAAGAGCGGATTTATATTGTTTGTGAGTTGACTCACTGTCAGCTTAGTGATTGCCAGCTCAGCAAAACAAATTAACGCACGTAGAGCTTTCCTTTCAGTTTTTCCTATTTTCAGCTTGATGATTTGAAGAGCTCAAACTAAAGGAGTTAACCTTGTGCCATGTTTTGTCACTAAAGTGATGTGTCACTAAAATGTAACGAACTGACAAAAATGGACAGAAATCTATAATAGCTCCTTAACTATCCCACGTAATAGATTGTGGGGACTGATATGCAAGTCTTAAGAAAACATCTGTGGTGAAATGGACTTGGTCTAATCTATAATTTTAAAAGATGGTGAGATAATAGTTCACTTTATCAGGGATAAGATTTCACTTGAGGGATTTTGCTCATGTGTGAGCAAAAATAGTTACAGAGAACCAAAAACCCCAGGAAGCTAAATGAGCGTTTGACAGATGGAATTTTACCTGGGGAGGGGAAATGGTGCAGTCAAGTAAATTAGCATTTTTGCTCCGTATTGTTCTGTTTTATGTCAGCAAGCCACAAAAACGATACAGCTCATAATAAAGTGTTCAGGGAAAAGCCATTGAAATTCAAATGCATGTCAGAGGTCACAACTGGGATTTGGAGTTCAAAAAGCCTCTAAAACTGTTCTTGTCTGAGCAACAGTAATTGCTATAGTCTGTGTTGTTAAAGTGAATGGACTTTAAAAATAAATTTCTATGTTGTATACTATAATAATTTGTGTTTGGCTTAACATTTAGAGAGAGTTTGCCTGTAGAGCAAAGTTTTCTGCTTGAAAAAGGAGCTTTCTGTGAAACAGCTGCTACTGGCCATCCTGTGCTTCCTTGATCTAGTATGATAATTCCAATGTTAATCTTTATCTTAATTAAAAGCAGAGTGTAGGTGACTTCATGTTATTGTTTCTCTGGTATTTCTCTTTTTATATGATATCTGCCAAATGTGGTGGTGTGTGTTCTTACTTGTTTATTTTATTTAGTGAAAATATGTCTTCCTCCTGTGATGGGAGGAGAGAGCGAGGGTGCAAGGAGGAGAGCTCTTACTTTGAGTTATAACCTCTTGAGTTAGTCATCAGTGGTGAAGAAGATGCCTTCTTGATGCATACAGTGGTTTAACAAACTGTGGAGAGGCACTGCTAATGGAGTCATAAATGGATCGTTACAAAATCAGTGTCCATGAGTAAAGAATGCCCGAATAGGCTGGGCACATCACCAAGCTACTGAAGTAGGACATATCTTTCTGTGCAGTGGCTTTCCAAAGTTTTAATAAGCTAAATATTTGAAGTTCCGTTCACCCCATTAGTATAACTTGCGGGGCTCAAAGGACAGTGCTACCTATGGATACATTGCACCTTACATTGACTGAATAAGCAATAACCAGTTCAGTCAGGAGCTCAGATTCTAACTGTTTTGTGTACTGGATCACCACTTGGGGTCAGAACAAGCTCTGCACAAATCCTAGATCCTTGCACTTAGCTGCCTTCTTTTTGTGTGATAAAACTGCCTAGTAAAAGGTATTTTTCACAGCTGAAATGGTCAGTGCTACAGCAGAAGAAAGGCACTTGTCAGTAAATGACTCTTGTTCTTGGTTTTGTTTGTCTGTTAGATTAACTTTTGTGATTAGGAGAGTCAAAAGTTTGTTTGTTTTTTTCTGTGACTTGAACTTTCTTTGGATATTAGCTCAAGCAGAGGGTATGCACCTATAACCTTGCCTTCTGAAACAAGAGAGGAAGTTGGTACCTGTGAAATAAGTGGGTGGATATACTACTAGCTTACATCTATGAAGGAGGTAATTTGAAGATGACAGAATACAGAACACATAGAAGAAGGGATAATTATAGGGTTTTTGTTTGTTTACAGCATGCTGTTAGTTCAGTTGATGTCTTTATGAATTAGAAGTCGTGAATTTTTGTTCAAGCTCCTCCTTTGAAGGTGCTTTGTAGGTCTGTCTTAAGGATTCAAGTAATAACGTGAGAAGAAACCAAATGACTTCTCTCAGCCCTGAAAAGCTGTGGAACCTAATCCCCCAGAGTCCTACCCCAGTGGTCCTTGAGGGAGGAGGAGAATGTGCTTTAGAAAGCACACAAACAAGAGAGCCACGGTTGGGCCAGGTGTTCAGTGAGAGTCTTAGAGTTAAATATGCCTGGAATTCACCAATGTTGTTCTCAAAATCCTTTCCACCTTACAGGAGGCCTTTCTCAAAGTGTCACAGACTTCTCTATATTTATATACTGTGAACCAGCAGCTGAGCTGAGGTCACCAGCTTGAAAATCACCATCCCACCCTAGGCTGACCCTGAAGCCTGCCTGGAGAACACAGAAGAGCATTGCAGTTCAGAGAAGTGACTTGAAACTTTAGCCAAGCTTATCTGTTTCTTCTTTTCCTTAAAAGTGCAATTTCAAAAATCCAATGTTTCTCTTGGGCTGCAGATACCCCAGTCTCTGCAATAATTGAGACCTTTCAGGAGCTCTGATGAAGAGACTTGGAGTTGCTTTACTGTCAAATGTGTGCTATCATCTTGATTTTTTAGGTATATTTCTCCTATTTAGATTAAAATCCTAGACTCCTAATGATTTCCACCATAAATTCAGTAGTAATTACTCTTTCTTGGTGTTGACCACCACCATCAAGCCCCTTATCCACCTCAATAGGTAACACCATTTGTGATAAGTCATAAATACAGGAAACCTGCAATCCAGCATAGCTCTCTTTGTTAAGTAACTCTTTAGAAGGGCAGCACAAAAGCTAAAGCATACAGCCAAGCCCTGAGACAGTGGTGTTGCAGGCATGAGAGTAAACAGCCCTCAGCAGTCTGAAGAGGGTCTTTATTCCTCAAGGAGTTCTTCAGGGAACAGGATCACATTTTTGAAAGACCCACCCAAATACCATCTAAGAATTAACTTCAGTTAAAAAGCCTGTAGTAAGTTAAAACTAAACAGAAAATTGATTGTATTTCTACCACTGCTGACTTCTTGTCCTGTAGACTGTACCTCTCCTACCTTTCTCTTTGGAAATAGGGAGAGCAACTTTCCTATTAACTTTACCTCTGTGTCACAAATACTTAACTTTTTTTTTTTTTTTAAATCAGATGGTCCTACTGGTAAGTAGTCAAACTCAGCACAGTTGTTTTCAATGTGTATCTAGTCTTAGTGGTTGCCTTAGACTTGGTGAAGAAAAATACCCATATTTTTCTGTGCATGTTCATAATTCAAAAAGATATTTCCACTATCTTTACAAATTTCATGAATGCTATTGCTATTCATGTAGCAATAGCATGGCTACAATAACACTATCACCGGTTGTGTGAACAGTATAACTCCAAGTGGAAAAGATCCTAATTTTGGTCCTGTAGCTTTCAGAGGACTTAGATTAAGTCCTTTGCAGACTGTTTTGTTTATTTGTTTCATTGCTTGTCTATTTCCTCCCCACCCCTGCCAGTTTTCATTATTAGGTGTTGCTGCATTAAAAAATAGTGTGCGATTGAAAGAGTGAAAGCGTAAGAATTTATCCAAGTAAAGCAACTTTTAAAACAAGGCCTAAGACAGTGCTTTTTTAACCTTTCTTAGCCTTTGTGTCTTTGTAAAATCTAGATACAAAACACACAAAATGTCAACTGCTGCAGAAAGTGGTACATATATTTATTTTTTCCTCTGTAGTAGGAAAACTGAATGAGGTCTGCAAATGAATATTCCACAGCAGGTTTACCTGTACCGTATGGCCTGCGTCCCTGTTAACTGAGAACAATAGAAGCAATTGTACTGGAGTCTAGGCTGTCAGCTCAGTTTATCAGAGGAACATGCATGGTGGGATTTTGGGGAGAGAGGCTGAGTGAAAGCCTGTTGTTCGGTGTTCTCTTCTCTTGCAGCAGATCTGTCTGCTCTGATGCTGCTTCTACAGGGATGATGTAAAAATGTCACTGCCTACTCAAAAATGCGTGTGAAGGGGCATGTTTTAGAACAGTGGTTAGTCCTTGTTGTGTTCCCTGACTCCTTACAGACCAGCTGCAATGCTGCCAGCCTAGCTTTATTTGCAATATGGTTATAACTGTCAAACACACTTTAAATGGCTCGCTAGAGTACTCTGTTATATCTTGTATTGAATAACTCTGTAAGTTTTGATTTGAAACAAGGTTTCCTCACCCACATTCATATGGAATTAGAAATATAAAATACCATCTTATTTTCAGTTATCACGAAGTAAGTTCATTGACACCAATTGTATATTCAGCTCATCAGGGAAGAACATATTACTTAATGATTCAGCTGATGCTTTAAGCAATTCTTTAGAAGTTATGGTTCTGAAATCAGCTGAACTGCCACTCTGTAATGAAGGACGCTCTTACTGATCTATTGCAAGCTCTGTCAAGGGGGCTGTCTTGTGCTCAAGCAACTTTCTGTCAGTTAGCTAGTCTGTCACATCCTGCACACCACCCTGCAAGCCTGCAGGGTTCATTGAATTACTGACATCATTGTTTAAAATGGAGGCACCTGCCGAAGAAGATGGAGAAGAGCATGTGTCGCCTTCATCTTCAGAACTTCTTGTGATGAGCCGAAACTGAGGATGATTAGGTCAAATAGATTTGAGACTGCCAGAGCAAAAGCTGGAGTAATGACACGGGCAAAATCATTTTTGTGAACTAAGGGATTGTCCATCAGTCCATTCACCAGGCTTTATAAAGTAATTTGTAATGTAAGGTTGCTTCCAATTGGGTGAGAGGAGGTGGGCAAGGACCTCTTTCAATCTCCCTCTAGTACTTGGCTCTGGTCTTAGCTGCCTGGACAGCTTGGTCAGCAGAGAAACTGTTGAGCAGTGAAAATAAGCTGAACATAATTTTCATTAAGCATATTGTATTATTCTGCTTGATTTCTTTGGTTGCTCAGTGTGTCAGCTCTCTGAAGATATTTTAATGCATGCTGCTTTTGAATACTCTCTTGAGTTTGCTCCAATTCTGCCTATTCCTTCCTCGTGTACTACATTACAGTACTGATTCCAGGCTTCCTTACGTTTTGACTTGTCTTCTGACCACAGTAAATGCATACGTATAACTTCCTCTGTATTTTTATTGTCTATCCTCTGATTCCCTTTCTCCCTGTCTTCCCATACAGATAAATCCAGTTGGCCTCCAGTTTGGCCTCCATGGCCAAATCCATGGTGGCCTTCCAGGTTCCCCTAGCATGCAGTGTTCTGTAGTAAT